CTCACTTGGTAGCCCAGGCTGGCCTCGAACTCACAGAGATCCGCCTGGCTCTGCCTCCCGAGTGCTGGGATTAAAGGCGTGCGCCACCACCGCCCGGCTGCTTTGGGTTTTAATTTACATATTTAGGAATATTGGCTTAGCTATAGAAACAGGGTCCCTTAATATTGCAAATATCAACTACATTAGTATATTTGTAGAACTTTGTGATATGTCCGCTTGAAGGTTTTCATGAGCTAAATGTAAAGTGGGAGAGACACCTGCTGATATTCTTTTTCTTGCAACCCCATCACAATGGCAGCTATAAAAAAATTGGCTTACTTCTTGACATAGTGATACACACCTGTAATTCTAGCATTTGGGAGGCAGAGGCAGGAAGATCATTGAAAGTTTCATGCCAGCTTGGTCTACATAGCAAATTCTAGGCTAGCTAGGACTATATAGCAAGATGCTGCCTCAAACAAAACAAAAGCAAAACATCTCTTTGATTTTTGCTGTTCAAGTCCAGTGAATTGGAAATGAGGGTCAGCAATACTTTTCCCTTCAGGCCACCTCCTGGTCACCACCCAGTTGTTAGTTACTCCAGTGCAGACCCATCCCTGTGGTAGATGTTCTCTTTCTCATCACTTTTTCTCTTTCTCCCTTCTTCTCTCCCTCTTTCTCTTTCACATTAATTTACCTTGTGTGTGTGTGTGTGTGTGTGTGTGTGTGTGTGTGTGTGTGTGTGTGTGTGTTTCCTACTTCCACCATGTGGGTGGTTATCAGGTTGTCAGGCTTGGGGACAAGCATCCTTACCCCCTGAGCCATCTCCTCAGCCCTCTGGTAGACTTTCCACAATCTCAATGCGTCAGGTTTACTCTTCAGCGTGGTAGTCTGTCCCCCACCTCACTTTCCTTACTTCTTGTCATGACTGTATTAAAAAAGCCATGGCTTTTCATGTTGAATATCTTGATGTGGATTCAGATCAAATGGATCCAAATTGGGTTTCTAAAATGGTTTAGTGAGTTTTCAAGCGTCTTAAAATACACAAATAAAATGTACTGAACAAAAAAAAAAAAAGGAGATGGAAAGTGTGAGAAAGTAAAAAACAAACAAAGCAAGGCATTGAACATGCTGAAAAGCTGGCTGTTTCTAGACTGAAGGAGATGAAACTAAAAGATATTCAATTAAAGTAAGTCAGCCAGTTGGAAAGGACTAGGAACAGCGATGTTCCCTTCTCAACTATCGCTTCAGATGATTTCAGTGTTGGGAGTCAGAGGAGCGAGATGGGTGGAGGAGGAAAACAGAGCACCAAGGTGGGCTTGAAAACACCTTTTGGAAAGACCTTTATACTGTGTTGAAATGTAAAACTTGGAGAAAATAAGCAGAACAAAATTTACTAACATTTTAAAAGAAGTAAATTGCTAAGGAAGCATAAACCTGGTTTCAAAAATATTTTAACTATGGAGACCTAAAACAGATCTCTGGCTGGACTGTTTGCACCAGCAGGAGGCTGGCTGTAAAAGCTGAGTAACCTCAGGCTTTTAAGATGCTCTCCCAGTAGGATTCCACAATTGCAACAGACCTAAAGATGCTGTGTGGCTCCTCTGTTCCAAACTATGGTTTTAATTGGCTGTTATTCTGTACCTATGCTGTCATCGTGTGATGGGTATAAGCAGAGTGAGAGGGCTTGGTGGTCAAATAACCTTCCTTTGTTGTTCACAGGTCACTGGATCGCCAGAAGGCCTGATGGAGAGAACAGGATCATTGGTGATCTGCTTTGAGCTGGGTGTGCTGTGTAGAGGAAACTGAAACAGGTATTTGGTGACTGCAGGCCATGTTAGGAACTGGCAATGGTGACCAAAGTCTTTGCTTTGCCTTCTAGATGCATAGAAAGTTCATACCCTTGAAGTAAGGAGCCAGTGAACTGAGTTTGGGTGACTAAATGTTGTGTAAAACTTTCGGCTCTGACTTTCCAAATCTCGCTGGAGATCTTCCACAATGCAGATGATCCAGAAGAGGCATCAAAAATGGGAGATCCACAAGAGGGAAGGATCCTGGGTCTCTGAGTGACTATGTGGAACAGAGCCTTTTACATGCATTGAAATAACATGAGTAAGAAATAGGTCATACCTGGATTATCTATAATGTCTAATACAGAATAAATGCTGCATAGTCACTGTAATGTATTTCTCATAGAATGTTAGGAAGCCAGTATTCAGTACAGAAGCAATTAACTTTTTAATGTTTTTGATCCTTATTGGTTGAGTCTACAGATGGGGAACATGTGTGTTAAATGCTCTAGTAAACAATTGTTTATTATGTAGAAAATTTGAGATCACCTGTTATACCTTAGCCTGCCTGGAGAAATGCAATTATTAAAGCAAAGAACATCTTAGTTGTTTTACTCATCACAGTTCAACGTTCTTTTTTATATTATATTTATTTATTTATTTATTTATTTATTTATTTATTTATTTATTTATTTATTATTTGTGTGTGTGTGTGTGTGTGTGTGTGTGTGTGTGTGTGTATACGCGCTCGTGCACGTGCATGTGGAGGTCAAAGGACAATTTGTGGAACTTGGTTCTTTTCTTCTACCATCATGTGGGGCCTGGGGATCAAACTCTGGTCCTCAGGCTTGATGGCAAGCATTTTTAACTGCTGAGCCATCATGCCCATCCATGCTCTTCAAGTTTCTTTCACCCAGTAGAATTGGTGTTCTCTAGCTTCATGTTCCCCATCTATAGATTTACCTACTAAGAATAAAAAATATTAAAAAGTCAATTGCTGTACTGAATACTGTAGAGATGGCTGCCTAGCATTCTATGAGAAATACATTACATTGACTATGTAGCATTTATTCTGTATTAAGCATTATAGATAATCCAGAGATGACTCAAGCTATAAAGGAAGCACGCACATAAAGGATTCAGCAACTGTGGGAATTGGTGTACAAGAGAGGGCATCTTGAAATCAATCCTCCATGCATACCAAGGGGACAGTTACAATAGAGGACTTTTGTGATCAAAAGCTTACCTTTTTTTTTTTTTTTTTTCAGACAGGTTTCTCTGTGTAGTTTTGGTGCCTGTCCTAGATCTCACTCTGCAGACTAGGTTGGCTTCGAACTCACAGAGATCCACCTGGCTCTGTGTCTGGAGTGCAGGGATTAAAGGCGAGCACCACCACCACCTGGTGAAAGCTTACTTCTGATTAAGACTGCAACTACCTAAATTTTTTTTTGCTTTTCTTGTCATAGGAAGCCAGTGGTCTTGTGCAACATGTCACTGTCTAAACCCAAAGCTATTCTTGCTAGTTACATAAGCTATGTGCATATTAATCTGCTACATCTCAGTTTCCCTATATGTGATGTGGCTAGGTGTAGAATTTAGCTTTTGTCTTTATGTTGTTTTGAGACCAGGTCTTGTTATGTAGTTTAGGCTGTCCTTGAACTCAAGATCTTGAGTGCAGGGATTACAGATGTGGATAGCTGTACTCAGCTTTTATCTTGGGTTTTTGAGAATTCAGTGAATGAATCCACATAGAGTGCTTAGCACAGCGGCAGTCACATAGTAAATTTACCTGTATACCAGTTACTATCTTTTTATCCATGTTGTTGGCATGGGCCATCTCCCTAGCACATGCTCTTCAGTAATGCTAATTAGGCAAGTACTCCCACTTGCCTTGGCATGTTTTATGGATGACCCAAACTGCAAACACCAACATGTCTAAAACATATGCTCTCTGCTTTGTTTAATTTCAGATACCAAAATATGCCTACACATAGGGGTATGTGCATAAAGAAACACATGTACTCTTTTTTTTTTTTTACTTTGCCTGGTAGAAATAGGCTTCTGCAACGTGTCTTTTCCTCCCACACATGCCCCTCCATGGCTGGCACATCTCCTAATTATTCCCATCTACTCCCTCCCCATAGACCTTTTGTGTGTATATTTTGGCACACATTCTTTTGGTTCTGCCTAATTCCTTTCTATCTCTTTTTCTGCCTCCACCCTCCCTCCTCTTCACAACTCTTTAGAAAAATTAGTTAAACTATACATTTTTTATTATTAATGTACATTTATGAAAAATTCGTTACAGTTACAAAAGTGCATGGTTATAAAATAATTTCCATACAAAGGTCGGCGGCATCTTCCCTACTCCTCCCTCACCCTCCCACCACCAGACATCAGGGCTTAGGAGAACTGAGAGCTTTGTGGACCCAGCTCCTGGTCAGCGCTGTGGTGTACAAAAGGCCCTTGGGTCGTGCCTCTCTTACTTCATTTTGCCTCCTTCTGGGCACACAAAAGCAGACAAGGTTCCCTAGCTGTGAGGACGCTGTCCCTTTGAGGAATGAACAAAGGGGTCTCCTTGTGCTCTTCTACAAATGAAAAGAATGTCTATGGAGAAAATGGAGCTGTTGGCTTTTCACAAGGGTTGGAATGAAATACATGTACTCTTTAAATCCATTAAAATCTCTTTAAATCCATTACACCAAGCCCTTAACTGAGACCATGAAACTCTGTAGCATCCCTGGACAACCTATTTCTTCACGTTTTGACGGGAATCCTGGTGAGAATGGAAAAGGAGGTGGTATCTTGAGGATAATCAGAGGTACATGGTCCAGAATGGTGTGATGAGGACACAGGATCTTTTCTAAAAAAAAATTTTCTTGTCCAGACCTTGACCATCATAATCTTGTTGGTTAGTTATGACCTGACGTTTTCAGACCCAGCATAAAGGAAACTTCTGTGAAGGGGACAAGTCTGTAGGGGATAGAGGAGGACAGAGGGAAGTTGGGAGGAACCAGGTTTTCATTAGGTTGTTTCAATTGTAGCATTGGATCTTTTCATATTTCCCGTGCAGCCAGACAATTGTGGAGGGTCCATATTTGTGTATCAGCCTGACAGCTGAGTGGATTGTGTTAGAAAATTGAACTCATGTTTCAAAGGAATATTCTCCAAGTCAGTAGATAATCAACATAAGTGGACCACAGATACACATATGGACAAACAAATGCCCCATCACACACATGTTAGCCAGTGAGGAAAAAACTAAATGAAACTTCATGGGAACATCATAACAGGGTTGTGGTTACCAGGATATGCAAACACTCACAATAAGGATTATTATATTATTTCTAGACACTTAGTTCTGACAGCCTGAACAGGATGGTGGTAGTAGTGGAATTCCATGTTAGTATGGAGGCTGGATGTCTCCCTTCTTGTGCCTTAGTTAACTGGGGATCTTCTAGAAGCTGGAGAAACATTTTCTTGATGTATCTTGCTCAGAAGTCTTTGCCATTAATGGAGATCAAATTGTGCCACTCGGAAGGACACTTGATCTCAAGAGGCATTTGGTGTCTTGTCTTGTTCTAATTCTATGTGAAATAGAGTAGTATATCTTAAAATATGTTAACTATAATTCAGCAAACAGTGGTGCCCAGGAGATTACTGTAAGTGAGCATGGTGTTCCTCTATGGAAAGTTAAATGATTTTTTTTTTTTTTAAATCAGGAATACTATTTCTAAAAGTTCCTTTCCAAAACACTGTAGATGATAAGCTTAACTGGTGGATGATAGCTAGAGTCCACCATTGTTGGCTGCAGATGGGTGGACAGGGAGAGCAGGGTTATGTTCTATGTCATATTTCATAGGAGCAGAGCTCTGGCCTAGACAGCAGAAGCAAGAGTGAGGGGGAAAGCTTCCGGGGACTGCTTTGGTTGATTAGATCAATGTAGATGAGCTGGAAGATGACATACTCTTCTCCTCCATGCATTTTAGGGCTACCTGGGGGTGGATGATGGATGCTTGCTGGGGTTAGAGCCAAGATAGAAAGCTCTTGTTTTCACCCTCACTCTAGCCAGCCTTGCCGACAAGACTGGGCCTTAAGTCTTCCTGTCTTCTACAGACGATCTCACCTATCATTTTCTCAGATTCCTCAGTTTCTCTTGTAACACAACACACAGTAGGAACCATTTCTCTTCCTTTCCAAAAATTTGACTGAAAAATGATGTCAACGCAGCCGCCAGTCCTAGTGACGGACTCAGACATTGTTAAGAAGGCGTCTTCTGTTTAGATGTTACGTGTGCTGCCTCTGTGTTTTAGAGGCTGGCATTGTCCCTCTGTGAGCACAATCTGGGCACAGCTGGGCTTTGCTGCCTTCTATTCATTTTTGTGATTACTATTGTGTCAATGACTGTTGAATTCTAGGGCTCTGCTACGGAGGCTTCCAGGACATTCTCTTCCCCCAAATGCCCAAGGGAGCACTGGAAAGAGAACCACGGCAGAACTGAGTCCAGCGTTAGGACGAAGTCATACTCATCTTGAGCCTCTGCTTTCCTACATGTAAAACAGCGTTTTGGTTTGTTTCCCACACAGAGTTGTGAGAAGCCAAGGAGAGGAATGCAAAAGAAGCTGCTTGGACTTCCCAGGGCCCAAGAAGACAGGGAAGATCTCAATGAAGCTGATGACATAGATGAGGAATATGGAGATGACAAAGACGGTGATAATCATGTTTCCACACAGTCCTTGGTGCCTGACTGATTAGATACAGATTTCCTCAATGGAGTCAACGGTCATATTCTTTGTTTACACAGATAACTTGGACAAGAAGCCCAGCTCTCTACAATGAAATTCAGCTACAATTCAGCTGCAAAGTGGGAACAGTAAAAACGGTCTGGCAGTGAGAATGGAAAGAGATGAATTAGAAAATATAACCATGCCCAGAGCAATGCCTGGTCCTTATCAGCAACTTCATTAGCATGGCTTGAATTTGAATTTACATAGCTTTAGAAAGAGTTGTGATGAAGGATACTGATTGTATTTTGATCATGACATAGCATGCTACCTTATCCTTTCTGAGCCTGATGATCTCATCTGCAAAATGGGAACAATAAATCCCCGAGAGCTGTGGTATGTGTGAAAGGAAACTGTTGAGGAGGGAGCTTCTTACACTGCCCGACACTAGCAATCAGGAATTAATAGCTCTCCTTCCTTTATGCTCAAATGAGTGAGTTAATTAGAAGAAAAGACATATAATCCCATGGTTGTGAATGTGGTGGCTTTATCCTCCTGCCCTGGGTACTGACATGCTAGGCTCCAAGCCCTACAGTGTACTTTCCTGGTGAGTTCCTTTGGTGTAAGCACCATGGAAAGAGCCATCACACAATTGGGGTCCCAGGGTGCCAAGACTGTTGCTGCCACCATGGTGGGGGCCTTCTGCCTTCTCCTTGAAGACAAGTCTAGAGTCAGAGTCAGAGACAGGGATGGAAGGAAGGGTGCTGAGGGTAATTACCCTTAGCCAGTTGTCTGGGACCTCACCATGAGGCTGCAATTGGGGCAGCATAGGGAAGTCCCCGGGGGTCATTTTACCCCAAAGCTGCTAGTGGAAGGGGGTCAAGGAGCTGGGGGCCATCTCACTCCTGGAGGGCAGTGGCAGGCTACAGTGGGGACTGGAAAATTGAGTGTCAGAGGGAAGTTTTGCTTTTGCGTACACCTCCTCTACACACTTAGGCCACAAGGAGCAGTGTGTTGCTCTCTCGACATACCCTGCACAGTAAGCCCTATCATTTGCCCTGGTCATCCTTTCTCTATCTACTTAGCAGATCATTCTTGCAATTCTTCTTGGACTTTTGAGGCACAGATGATGGACCCTCCTCTGGGCTTCCCTAACACTGTGCTCAGCACTGACATTTTGTCATAAAAGGATGTTTTGGAATTGCTTTCTTTATTAAAAGTAAGTACCTGAAGGGCAGGGACTTGGTTAGATGTGTCTTTCATTCCCAGTTGCTAGCACAGTGCCTGGCCCAAAGTGGATGGATGCTCACACAAAGTTAGTTTCCCAACCTTGTCTGAGCTATGATGGAGGTGGCCAGGGCACCATGATCCCAGGTGTCCAGTGGTCAACACCAGTGGCAGCAGCATGGAGGGATGAGAGGCACCTGTGTCAAATCTCTTCTTCTTCACTGGCCTTGCTCCAGCGGTGACAGCAGTTGGCTGTGATGCCCAGGAGGAAGTTGGTGGCCACAGAAGCGATGGAGACCACAAAACCCACAAATGCGATGAAAAGGTAATCATCCAGGGTCAGAGTCAGGTGGCAGGCCTTGAAGCTCTCTTCAGTGAGTGAAAAGAGGGGGGCACCCTCAACTTCAGGGGGTCCCCGACACTCCGCCAGCTGAGAATCTGCAACACAGAACCCAAGTAGGATGAGGCTCCTTTAGGAGAGAAGGGATGGAAGAATCTCCCGTGCCTTCCAGACAGTCACTAGATTTCACCAATATGCCTCAAATATACTTATCATCTCAGCAACCAGCAAAGCATTTTTACCTATTTTTATAAATGTGAAAAATTACCTGTCATATGGTTGAGTGTCTGTGGAAAGTCTTATGGTTACTTCCAATGGTGGATCTGGGACTTTTGTGAGACATAAAGCCTGAAGTCTGGACATGTCACTCTCTGCTCTGTACATTCTTTTGGCTTCTCATTTGCACACAGAGAGGAAGCCAACAGCCCCCTTAGGGTGCCAAGGACACTTTCCCATCCCTTTATTTTCTTAGCTTTTCTGCTCCAGAGACACGTCTCTATCATTCCTCCATGGCCCCAAGCATGTATCCTCTTAGATAGGAAGGGGGGACCTTGTTATGAAGATTCTGTTCTAGGTCTCCATATAGCCCATTCTCTCACTTCCTTTGTGACTTTGTTCAATACAACCTGCTTAGTGATGCCTTTCCTTGGGAGCACACCACACCGGTTTCCACCACACTCACTGTCATACCCATTCTGCTTTATTTTTCCCTATGGTGTCCTTGCCTGACAATTTTGTCACTGTCTCTCCTCCCTTGAAGATATGCTTCTCCCACAGCAGCCTCAGCCCCAGAACAGCATCTCTTTGTTGTAAGCACTCAATGGGTCTTTCTTAAATGGATGTGGGACTTTAATTTAAAAGCCTTGTGTCTTGTTACTAGCTCACATTTTTTTCCCCTGGAGAATACAGTCAAGAGCATAGCCTCTGGAGATAACACCTGACTGTGAATCTCCTCACCCCTCATCAGTTGTGTGACTGTGAATATTTAGTCCCTCCGTATCTGTCAAGTGACAACAATATCTGTCTTCGGTAATTGTAGGCAGGATTTAGAGAACTAAAACACACAAATGCTTCTAGTGCATACTAAACATTAGGTAAAGTGCATGCCCTTTATAATCATCATAGTTGGGTCTCTCAGGTGTCAACTTGGGGTCATATTCTATACTTGGAGGGAAGACATTGGAGGGAAGAAGCCGCTCCTTTGGTGGGATGGCTTTCCTCCCCAGCCTTGTGGAACAATCCTTTTGGGTCACTTAAACAAGTGCACGATGGTTGTCAGTGGTCTAACCTTATCTGTTTGGGGAGTGAGAGTGGCCCTCAGAGACAATTCCACCCACAGATCTGGGCAAAAGCTTCAGAGTAACACCTATGTCTTGGGTCAGGATGAAAATACTAATTGAGGCTCTAACCTTGGGCAAATCTTGTTTATTTTTTTCTGTCTCTTCTGTGTTGTCTTTATAAGGAGGGAATAATCCAATCTAAACTTTCCAAGCGAGTCAATGTGAAGCTTTAAAAATTAGTGTATTAAAAATACAGGTTGTGTCAGTGCCTGCTATTGATTATACAGGTTTGAGGGCAAAGAACAAAGTGATGGGTCTGGATTGATCCTTTTGACAGACGGATATGCATACATGTTATTACCCTTAAAAGTGTGTGTGTGTGTGTGTGTGTGTGTGTGTGTGTGTGTGTGTGTGTGTGTTCATGTTTGGGATAAGAATGCAGTTTCCCTCAAATCATGGGTTGAGTCAATCCCAGTACACTGTTTGCACAGGACTGTAGACTGATTAGATCCTGGTCGTATCTGGAGTTGACTCACAAGAAGCTCTCCAGGGAATCTAGAAGACATCAACTTCCAGAGTTGATTGTGTGTCTATGTAAAGCTGCAGTGAGACAATGCAGACCAGCTAGAGAAGGCTGAGGGCACACAGTAGCCACACAAGGTGGGAGGTGATGGGCTGAGAAAGTTCTCTGGAAATCAAGAGATCAGTCTCGAAATCAGATTATATCCCAGTGGCTCTCTCAAGTCTATGTTTCAATTCTGTCTCTCAGCATGGATAATAGGGGAATTTCAGTAGGAGAAAAGAGAGGAAGTGATAAAAAAAATGTCTAAGGGAATGACATCATCCAGGTCTACATACTCTAGCAAGCTTTGGCCTCTAAGAGGAAACGTAACCTGTCCTCTGTGGAGAAGGACAGGGGCCTGAGGACCACCACTGTTCTCTGGAGTGCCTCACCCGCAGTAATGTCTGAGGCCTCACTGCTGGCGCCTGAGGTTCTCCTGTCTCCTGGAGGCTCCAGTCCCCTTCTGTGTAAGCCTTCACGTATGGGAACTGGGCTTCTCACTCCTTGGAGGAGAGCTCAGGTCCCTTGCCTGAGTTGATGTATAAGTCTACAATGACAGGAGCTGGTCTCATCTCCTCCTTTCTGAGGCAGCCAGGTCTTCTGCAGGGCAGCAGGAACCCCTGGAGATCCCAGCAGACGAGGAATCCCTACTGTGAGGAGAGCTGAGTGCCTCTGAAGGCTCTTTCTGTCAATAGTGACAAGAGGGAGGAAGGCACAGCTTGCAGAGAGATTGGGTTGGTAGGGAGATGGCTCTAGGCAGCCTCCCCATCCTAGTCCCCACCATCACCCCATCTCAGTCTCCTGCTATTTTGGTACTGGAGAACTTCCTCCCACAGCTCTGTGGAAACGCTGGAATCGTGACCCACAGCCCCCCTAAGTTATTTTAGTCTTGGGCTCCCCACTCAGTCCTCTCCTTCTTGCCTCATTCAGCATTGTTTTATTTTTTCCCCTTGAGTATGCTGAACTTAGGCTCTAGGGAATTCCTGGGATGGGGCTCCAGCAACTCCTATTGTTCTGATGCCAAGGCTGGGTGCTACACCATAAGTGCATTGGTGGCTGGGAGTATGGCTAAACTTTAGTGCCTCTGGGCCAGGTCTCAACACCACTGGATGAGACTAGGACCCACCAAACTTCTGTGACACTGGCTCTTTCAGGTCTCAGTCCATTCTCTGGTTGGGACTTTCCAGTTAAACTGCCTCATTTCAGCCCTTCTCCCCAGATGCCCACCCCATGCATAAACCTTGAAGACTCTGCTAAGGCCATTTGGCCAGCCCAGAGCTTGGTTATTTAGTTCAGGACCTGATTCTTGACAGTACAGCCAGAGAACAGCCACACTGCCAGGGTTTGGATCCTCGCTCCAACACGTGCTAGTTGTGTGATTTTGACCAAGCTACTAAATTTTTCTCTGCTTCTGTTTCCTCCTCATTAGGGTTCTTATGAGGATAAGAGGAGCCAACACATGAAATACGCTTAGAATAAGGCCTGGCACATAGTAAGTACTAAAATAAATAGGATTAGTCATGATTGTTTCTTTCAGGGTTTTCTCGGCACTGACAAGCGTTAGAGTAGAGTAGAAGTCAAATGAATGTGTTTTTATCTACGGCTCTGCCAATTTCCAAGGGAGTGACTCTGGGAAAGCCTTCTTACGGTCTACATCTCAGCTCCTTCACCTGTAGAATGGGGATAATAAAAACGGGGGTTCACTTAGATACTGGACGCCAAGGTCTCTGCTCACGGCAAAAGTCCAACAAATACCAGCAATGACCAGCTTCTCCTACTCTGCTTGTCATGTGTCTTCTTCCTCTCTCTGATCCTAGGTACCACAGAGGCAAGGGATGTCTGATGCTTTCGCAATTGAATTTCTCTAGTAGTCAGCATGCATCCTACATATTTAGCAAATACTTTTTGCACAAAAGAGAGGTGTGCACACAGTATCACCACCTTTTTTTGGGGGGGGACATTACCTCTAGAAATCCTCCCCCTGATGACCAGCCCAGTCACCTCCCTTACCCGCTGTACAGCGTTGTATCCGATTTCGCAGCCACTTCAGCAAGGGCTCCATGGTGCAGCCGCACACCCACGGGTTACCCCCGATCTGCAGGGTTACCAGCCCTGGGAGGCCCTCAAGGGCTTCAAGGCTTAGGAAAGCCAGGCCACCATAGCTGAGGTCCAGGTCTCTGAGATGCACGAGGCCCTGGAAGGCCTGGGGGTGCACCCTCCGTAGCCAGGGGTTGTGGCTCAGGTCGATATGCACCAGTCCATGAGCCTCCCGGAACATGTCGGCTGGCACATGGCTGAGGTTGTTGTAGCTCAGATCCAGGTGTGCTAAGCGCTTGGCATGGAGAAAGAGGCCCTGCGGCAGCTCCATCAAGGAGTTGTTGCGCAAATCCAGCACACGGAGTTCCATGTAGCATGTGAGATAGCCCGGCGGCACCGCTGCAATGCGGTTGTGGGCCAGGCTGAGGTTGCGGGTGTCCATTGGCAGGTCCGGGGGTACGGAGAACAACCGCTGGCTGCTGCAGTCCACTACTTGGTTACGACATGTACAAAGGACTGGGCAACTGGTACCGGCATCAGACTGCATCACTCCAGCTGCCAAGAGGAAGAAGACCAGCAACAAGGCTGGGTGCGGAGGCCCGGGCCAGGGAAGCTGGGCCCAGGTGTCACCCATCTTTGGCAGCTGGCAACAGCAATACTGTAGGGAGCCCATGAGAGCTGTGTCCCTAGGTTCAACAGTCAAGGTACAGGGAGGCTGCTACATTAGAGGCCTGAGTCTGGGAGGTGGGGCTTCTGAGAGTGTGCTATCATAGTTGAAGACTTCCTTGGGAGCCTCTAAGCACCCAAGACTTCCCAAGATCCACAGGATGTCCCTTTTGTGGAGCCTGGGGAGCAAGGACCCAGCTGAGATACCCTAGGGTCTGAAAGCGTGATCAAAGCTTGAGAAATGAGGGGAACAAGGACCAACCTGGGGCAGCTCTCAGCAGGTCCTGCAAGGGTCCCTGCAGATCTTTTGTGCCCCTGTCACTCATACCTGCTGGGTGCTTCCTCTGGGTGCTGGTCTGAGTGGTGGGAGGGACGATGTGAGAGAGATGAAAGGTGGCCTTTAAAGGTTCTGGCACTTCTTCTGAGAAAACTTAAGCTCTGTCCTAGGGCTGGGACTGATTAAGAAGTCAGAACTGCACCTGGATCTCCAGCTTCCAAGGTCTCAGAGGCCGTTTCCCCTGGTGGTCCAGCCGGCATGAGTTCACAAAAGACCTGGGACCAGAGATTTAGGAAGGGGCCTTGGAGAAGAATGTTCCCATGGCCTCCTGAAAGCCTGGCTGTTTAGTCTCATTGGCCTCTGTAATCTCAAGGGAAGCTCTTTGCTGCCCAGAGAGGGGTGAGTCCCGAGTGATACCCACTGTCTGGGCCACTGAATCTGGAAGAAGCCATGAGTTCTGGAGGCACAGGTAGGGGTCAGTTAGGAAAGCATTATCTATGTCTTCAAGGTATCACCACAGCTGTGCACGCAGCAGGCAGAGGCAGAATTCACTCTGTCAACAAGAAAAGCGTTCAGGCAGAGGCATGGAGAGTCCCCTATATCTCTGTCCCCTTACCTTTGTCTTCCCCCTCTCCTCTTTTATTTCTCATTTCTTTCTTCTTTGAACCTTCGTCCCCAACCACAAAGTGCCTTGCTTACTATCTTCCCGATGAGGACCACGGTGAGCGCAGAGCCCAGCCTCCAGTCACCTACTCACTCTATCCACCTGACCTAAAATCCTTCTCCCAGGTTTCTGTCCGGAGCTGGATGCATTTTTTTTTCTATTGCTCATAGCTCCACCCTTGTGAGCACTGAACACCCCACCCTGAACAACTCCCTAAGAAAAACCACTCTGGTGGTTTGTATACCCCCCCTCAAACACTTTCAGCCTCTCTCTGTCCCCCTCTCTTTCTTACACACACACACACACACACACACACACACACACACACACACACACACACCACACACGGACTCACGAACACACACACACTCTCACACTTTTGTAGTTTCTTTCTGCACACACTCTTGCAGAGCCCCCTCCCCACTGTGCCCCCAGCATCTTTTACACCACCACACAGCCCTAACCCCAGCATCCTGTTCCGTTCCAGTCTCCAGCTCCCAGCCTCCCTCTTAAGCCCACACACATACTTGGTCTAGCAAAGGGATCCCACCCAGGGCCTCACCCCGCGGCTCATCCCTCACCCTCTGTGGCCTCAGCTTCTCTTTTACCCACCTGCTGTCCTCACTTACCCCCCACAACCCCCACCCTTTTATCCCCTCGGTCCTTTCCCACCCTGTTCCCCACTGCTCCGGAGCATCAGTCTCACCACTGGGAAATCACCCCGGCACCACCTTATACAGACTCAATTTTCTCAGCCTCAGGGTCTCCTGCTCTACTCCCACAGACCCTCGGGAGACTACTCACTCTGTTCCAAGGACACAGACATCAATCTGCAGCAGACAAACGGCTCTGCCTCCCTCATCCTGGAATCCCCGCTTCTTTGCTTGCTAGCTTCCGAACAGATTGCCTACTGGGCTCTTCCCCTCCCCCGACTCTCCTCTTCCATGTCTCCTGGATCCCAGGCCAGCATCTTCTGCGTTTTCCTGTCCTGTGGTCCCTGTGCCCCTTCTTTTACGCTGAAGGGAAATCTGAGAGAGGATGCTTAGAAAGTTCACAGAATCTGAATGCCTCTTGGGAAACTCAGCCGGTGCCGAGGCTGCCTTGGTGTGTGGCTTCCGCCAGAGCCAGGTCTTCCCCTCCCTCCTCCCTCTCTCCCTCTCTCCCCCTCCCTCCATCCCTCTCCCCTCCTCTCTCTCTTTTTCGCTCCCCTTTTTTCCTCGAGGGCCAGGTAATGACGTTTCACTGTCTCTTAGCAACTGCCTCCACATCTCTGAGCAACAGGAGAACTGGCTATAGACCCCATCAAGATGAGAGGGGAGAATGAAGTACTCCTGGTGCATTCACAGCCACGCTAGTGGTAGGGCAAGGGGAAGAAAGAAGAGGAAGGTAGACAGCCCTAGGACAGGGGTGAAGGGAGAGGAACCTGCAGTGGAGAGAAGGCAAGAGGGTTCAGCAGGAAAGAATGGAATGGGCAGAGCACTGGTGTGGAATCTTAGATGGAGCAAGGAGAGTTTAAGTGCATCAGACCCCAAAGGGATAGAAGAGCAGAATATGGAGAAAGGAATTTAATGGGGTGGAAAAGAGCAAAGTGGATGAGAACAATGAAGACAAGGATGAAAAGAAGAAAAGAACATGGTTGATTCTCGGTGTTTGCTCACCTGATGGGCAAACACTCTCTGTTAGCTGCGATAGTATACCTCTCTCCAGGTCTGGGTGTCCCTTTTTCCCAGTGCCACGTGACTGGACGAAGACTTATTGGGAAGAATCCCAGGTGACTTGTTTCCTCTGCTCCTTCTATCTAAGTCCTTACCCCATGAACTCTCAGGAGTTAGGAGCTTTGGTTGGAGTGCTGGTTGATCTGAGAGCCCTGGGGAATGCAAACAATTGGCTAGTTCAGGTGAGGGCAGCTGGGCTTCTACAGAAATTTGGATTTATCATTAGGGAATGAAAATGGCCAGGCAAGTATTATGCTCTTGGGTGAGGGTGATGGTTCAGCAGGTAAAAGAACTTGTAATACAAACACAAAGACTGGAGTTTTCATCCTCAGCACCCAGGTAGACACCTGATATTTGTGGCAGCCTCCTTGTAATCCCAGTGCATGGAAGGTAGGCATGGGATCCCCATGGCCAACTAGCTAGAGAGACTAGATGAACTGAGGGCTCTGGGTTCAAGAGTCCTCGCCTCAATGCACAAGGTGTAGAATTATTGTGGATGACACCTCTGACCTCTACATGCATGTGTAACATGTGCACACACATGCACTATTATATACATGTGCCCAACACATATGAGCATGGACACACATATGTATTTGTACTGCACATATTGCACATGATAAAAAAAAATATTATGCTTCTTTCTTCTTTCCGAGAGCCCCAGGAATCCCTTTGGCTGCTTTGTTCCCTTTAGGAGCGTCCTCCCACACTCGACGCTGAGTTCATGTGAAGGTGACATGTCACAATCCCTCTTTCCTTGAGCAAGTCTCTTATTCAGTGGGGCAGCATTTACAAATTGGCTTGGCTAGTTGGTTTGAACAAATAGCTGGCTTTCCCTATCCCTCCCTTCCCATTCTCTCTCCTCTTCTCCCCTCTTTTCTCTTCTCCCCTCACCACCCCTGCATCGGGGTCTTACTACGCAGTCCAGGCTGGCCTTGAATTCTCAGTCTTCCTGCCTCCCAAGTGCGGTTGGATTACAACCACCACACTTGTTTTCTTTTCCTTAAAAAAAAAAACAACAAAACAAATAACTTTTTGAACATTTACTGTGTACCAAACAATTAACAAGATGGTAGTTTCTACCTTAGGAAATGGAGGTAGGATTGGGAAGATGGCTCAGTTGGTAAAGAGCCTGAGTTCTACCCTTAGCAGCCAAGCGAAAAGCTGATGTAGTGATGCAAGCTTCTAACCCCAGGGCTGTCTCAAAAAACTCCTAAGGAATGAATACCATCCAAGGTTGACCTCTCCACTACATGTACCTGCACCTGCATGGTACACACACACACACACACACACACACACACACACACACACACACACACACACAGAGAGAGAGAGAGAGAGAGAGAGAGAGAGAGAGAGATGGATATGGACATTGACTCTATGGAGAGGGGAACAAAGTAATGTTCTAGAGAAGAAATGTGAACTTATACAGGTTCTGGGCATTTAAGAAGTTCTCTAGATCAAGTGACCTCATCCTATCTACAGGGCTCCCCTTCATATGTAGTCATAGAAGGTCACCTTACGGACACTCTCTCTATTGTGCAGCCTTTTGCCTTTTATAGTGTCTAGTACCGAGCAATATGCAAATGATTTGTGAACACTTGTGCTCTGATGCTAAGATACTAACTCATGAGGTTAGTATCTCCTCCATCCTCAAAGCAAGGTGGTGGTTGTTAAATCTTATTTATGAATTTCGAAATACAATACTGATCCTAGCCCAGTTGTAACTGAGGATGGTTGGCCTCTGGAATGCAAAGCTGTCATCTCATTTTACTAATTAAAAATGCTTGGAAACAAAATCTCACTGGAGAGAATCATGAAAAATAATTATGAAAGGCAGAGAAAGGTATTCACAGTCGAACATTTAGTGTTGACTAAAAATAAGACAAAAAATTTAGAATTTTTTTCCCTTTCATGATATGAAATTTACAGTTACAATAAGAACTAATGTGGCTAAAAGAAAAAAAATATAGTTGGTTTTCTTAAAAAATGGGGGGTGGGCAGGCAGACGGCTTAACCTGTAAACTACTTGCTGGGTAAAGACAAGGGCCTGAGTTTGGATTCCCAGCACCACATGAAAGATGAGCTTCATGTCTGAAAGCCCAGTGTGGGTGGCCATGGCGGTAGAAACAAGAGGGTCCTGGGGATTCACCAACTAGCCAGCCTGCTCAAACCAGTGAGTTGCCTCGCCTCAAAAAATTGGGGCTGGGGATTTAGCTCAGTGGTAGAGGGCAAAAGGAGAACCCTTAGAGGGATTCTCCTGGGAAGGGGAAATAGATGAGCTCTCCTGGGTAAAGTGGGGGTGGGGCGGCATGGAGTGGAGGGGATGGGGAGATGGGAACAGGAGGAATCCTGTTCGTCCAGTTAAGGACAGCATGGAGGGGGAGAGTAATGAAAGAGGTATCTTGATAGAGGGGCCAATTATGGGGTTAGGGAGAAACCTGGTGCCAGGGAAACTCCCAGGAATCCACAAGGATGATCCCAGCTAAGACTCCTAGCAGTAGAGGAGAGGGTGCCTGAACTGGCCTTCTCCTGTAATCAGGTTGGTGACTACCCTAATTGTCATCATAGAGCCTTCATCAGTAACTGATGGAAGCAGATGCAGTGATCCACAGCCAAGCACTGGCTGAACTCAGGGAGTCCAGTTGAAGAGAGGGAGGAGGGATTATATGAGCGAGTGGGAGCAGGCAGAGGGGGGGGGGGCGGAAGGGGGCTGTCAAGATGATGAAGGAGAACCCCACAGAAACAGCTGACTTGAGCTAGTGGGAGCTCAGGGACTCTGGACCGACAGCTAGGGAGCCTGCAATGGGACTGACCTAGACCCTTTGCATGTGGGTGACAGTTGTGTAGCTTGGTCTGCTTGTGGGGCCCCCTAGCAGTGGGATCAGAACCTGTGCCTTGCACATAAATTGGCTTTTTGGAACCTATTCCTCATGCTGGGATGCCTAGCTTAGCCTTGATGCAGGGGGAGGAGCTTGGTCCTGCCTCAACTTGGACCAAGTTGCCATGCTTTGTTGACTCTCATGGGAGGTCTGCTCCTTTCTGAAAGGAGGAGTGTATGGGGGGAAGGGTAGAGGGGAGGTGGGGAGAGGGAACGGGAAGAGAGGAGGGAGGGGAAACTGTGGCTGGTATGTAAAATACACACACACACACACACACACACACACACACACACACACACACACACACACACACGACCTAGGCTACACTGCTTGCTCATTGGGAACTTCAGTTTTCTACTTGTGGATCAGGATAATGACACCTGAGCCCTGGGGCATCTCACAGGCATGCTGTACCAATAAAGCATTTAACCAGCACACAGCACTACAGATAGGCTTGTCAAGTGAACAAATAAGAAGATCGGTGAAACACTGCTGAATAGTTATGCACAAAGGAAGACATTAATTTGCATGAAAACAGGCGACAAAGGAAAACAGTCGTGTTTGCTGACGATTCGAATGTATCCTCACGCAAGGTGAGCCTCGAGATTTACAAGAAACCTTGATTAGAGAAAACCATGGCAGCATGTAATATATCTTCTGTAAATGTGAAGTTCAATGAAGTAGAAATATCTGAAGCATCTTTTTTACTTTTAATCATTTTTTGACTCATTAAGGGCTTCTGTGAATCCTAAATTGGTGTTTTGTGGCACACAATGTACTGTGGGAAAAAAAATGCTTGTTCAAAATAAGTTTAAGAGATAGTGCCTTCAACAAAATGAAGCAGGTTTATTTACTGGAGGATGTATCTGAAGCTTAACATGAAAATAGTCCGTTTGCAAGAGCAGCAGGGAGAAGACTTCATGCGAATCTGACGCCCGCCCGGCATTTCCTGCATTTACTTGAGATCTCTTTCTTCTTTTCTTCTTCCTCCCCCTCCTCTATCTCTTCTTTCTCCCTTTCTTCCTTTCTCTGCTCTTTCCTTCCCTCCCTTCCTCCCTCCTTCTCTCCTTCCTCCCTTCCTTTCTTTTCTCCTCCAGTACTGTCAACCAGGGGAACAGTTTTAAGTAGGAAACAGCTTTAGAAATGCTGGTTTTTTTTAACTGTTATTTATTAAAGTTTATTCTTGTTTTCAATCTAGCCCTTGTAATGGCTTAATTGGAACTCATTATTTTATTTGTTTATTTTGTATTAATTAAATTTATTTATTCATTAACATTGTCCTATCTACAATGATTCCTTTTCCTATATGGTTATAGGAAATCATATATAGATATATATCATATAAAGATATATATCTATATATTTTTCTCCTATCCCATCAACTCCTCTTTCTTTCCTACAAGTCCCTAGGGCTATTCTCATGACCACGAGTGTGAAATTACTCATTGGAGCCTCACCAGTAGGTATACAAATGACAACGACTACCCCTCACCAAGTTCTTACCCCAAAGCCTCATGAGCCCTTCTCCCATCCATATGGACTGAGGTGAGAGTCCTCAATGTAGAAGTAACAAACCCCTGTTGAGACACTGTGCTGGGTGGTTGGTCACCTGGTTGTCCTTGCATAGTGACAATCTCTTGCATAGCAGGCAGTGGGGCTCATAGCAATATGATGAATTCATGACATATGTCTTTTCAGGGTTTCTTGCATGTTGTGGAGTCTCTGGACTGTAAAGAATTTTGTAGCTCAACTGATAGAATGTCTGGTGAGCATGTATGAAGCCCCGGATTTGGTTCCCAGCCTCTCATGAACTGGGCATGGAGGTACATGTCTGTAATCCCAGGAAGTGAAGGCAAGAAAATTAGAATTTCAAGGTTGTCTTCAGTTAATTTGAGGCCACTCCATACTACTCCAGACCTTTTCTGGAAAAGAAAAACAAAACATTCTATTGTGAAAATTTGTAGAAATCAGTAAGGGAGCTGGAGAAAATGAAATCAGTTGAAAAATCATTTTCATTATTATGATTTCCTGAATGCATGACAAATTAGTTGTAACAATGACAGAAAAAAATTTTAAACAAATGAGGATTAATTTAATATATCACATACAAATTTGTTCAGGGAAAACTATGACATGTTAGGAGAATGATAATAGAAGAGAAAATGGAAAGCTGATTTCTCATATTGCTGGGAAAGTGTAAAAATAGGAAAGATGGCTTTTGCTAGATTATTATAACTTAATGAAGCGTTTAGCAGAAACTGGGGAGCTGGAAATGAAAGCCATCTGGGGAAAACCTGGTCAAGAATGCACAGATGATGTTACTAAGACAATGGTGATGATGACAATATTGGGATATGCTTAGATTAATGACGGGAGATTTGCTTAACTAAAAGGATAAAGTACAGATTGCACGCTGAAAACCACTCAGTGGCATTATTCAATATGAATGCTTTGAAAAAATGACCACAGATGTACCATGTGCTTAGCAAGTGGTTCTCACTACCGTCAGACAGAGCATGAAAAATGGAAAACAAGCCAACAATGTTGAACACAATCTCAGAGTAAGAATGCTATTAAGATACCAGGTCTATGCTTCATTTTTTCCCTATATTGCAAAGACAATAACAAAAACACAAGCTAGGAAGAGAGGAGAGTAACACATTAATCCTAGCTGTGAGAGGAGGCATCTTCTTGTGTAAGGAAAGAGGCAATGCCATTAGGAATAAGATTGCATTTGTCAAAAACACAGCATTGAAAAACAAGGTTTTATAGAAAGAAATGTGATAAAACAGGACAGAACAGAGAGAAACTCAATGGAAAATAGATTTTAGGTACAAATATTTGAAATGACACATATAAAATATATTGAGGATGCCACAAATGTATTTTTTAACAAATGGATGCAATATGTACTTTGCTCTAATGCAAAGACATGTGGTACTATTTTCTATCCTTTGGCAGAGAGACTAATACCTGTGCATACGTAACCTTTTAGGGCACAGGGGACTTTGTAGATGTGCTTAAATGGAGGTGGGAAGATTGTTCTGGATGATTCACATGGCTCTGATGTAAGCCTAAGGGTCCTTACCAAGAAAAGAAAGAGGTATAAGGGACAAAGGAGAGAAAGGTGAAGTGGAGGTTGGAGGTATCACACTCCCTGATTTGAAGATGGAGGAAGGGACCATGAACTGAGAGACACAGGTAGTCTCTAAAGCCTGTAGAGAACCATGAAATAGACTCTCTTCAGATATTCCAGAAGGAATGTAACCTTGGTGACCCACCAGAGGCTCCAATTTCTAGAACTGTGAGAAAATAAATTTACTTTTTAAAGTCACTAGTTTTGTAGTAATTTGTCATAATAGCCATAGAAACTAACATAGTCCTCAAAATGACTACCTTCTGGGCGGGATATGTGAGTAGGGTTGGTTGTTACTTCTGTGATTAAGTTACTAATCAGCAGCCTTCATACTAATCAAAGGGGATGGTAGAAACTGGGAAAATGGCTTAGTCTGTAAAGTACTTGTCCCACAAGCATGAAGATCTGAACTCAGATTCCCATCAGCCTTGTAAAAAAGTCACATACTGGGAAGGTGGAGACAGGTGGGTCCCGGAAACTCAATGACCAGTCAATTCTGCCTAATTGGAGAGCTTCAGGGTCAGTGAGAGACCCTATCTAAAAAAATGGAGTGTAGAGAGATCAAGGAAAGCAACCCAACATTGATCGTTGGCGCACACACACACACACACACACACACACACACACACACACACACACACACACGCACTCACTCCCCTCTTTCTTCTCCTCACCTAGTCTTCCTGTGGCTACACCATTAGAGAAGATGACATTCCCTTTGCCAACCATTAACATTCATGAACTCTTCAGGAAGGGGTGTGGTCTCATGGGAGTCTCCTCATCTGCGATGGAAAGTTGAGAATCAGTCTGAGCAGGTATCCAGTGCTGCTGTGTTCACAGCTGCAAAGAGCACACCCTATCTGGATGGCAGCATTTCATGGCACTCCTTTCCATCCTCCTGTCTTCAGTTCTTTCTGCCTTCTCGTCTGTGATCAAACTCTTGGTGACTTGAACGGGAACACCAGTAGGACATTAGCTCATCCAGTGAGTGATACTGAAGATGGAGAAACACATTGATGAGACAGCACCAGGCAATAATCAGCCACTCACTTTGCCACTCATTGGATTTGTGCTCTGAAACTCTGACATGTCCTTACTGTTCAGTGTTTTCATGTCTAAAACGAGGATTGTTTTGGTATGTGTTTCATAGGCTTGCTGGGAGAATCCAGAGAAGCCACACCTGGTACAGTTCTCTGTCCTCTAGAAAAGCTGAGTGAATGAAGCACTCCCACCATTATTATAAGTATCATTTTATGGAACTGAACTAGGAGCTTCTGTTGCTGATTTGTTGAAACCTCTTGCTTCACCTTACAAGTAAGGGCTTTGAAATGAGATTAACACCTGACTTAGGCTATTAATTAAATGACCCACAAAAACATATCATAGTGTTTGGCACATAGGAAACTCTCAACAGACTTTTGTAATTATTATTTCTATCATTGTTACTATTATTTGGAGAGGAAATTGGTAGTGGAGAGCAGGGAACCACAACCCAAATGAGGCCTTTGTTCTTTTTTATTTGTGACCAATTTCCAATTTCTTTTTTTTCTTTGGCTCCAGGATCTGTGCTCTAGGTCTTCAGTGGTGTTATTGCTGTTGCGTGCGTGTGTGTGTGTGTGTGTGTGTGTGTGTGTGTGTGTGTGTGTGTGTTATTGAATACATGTTCATGTGTGGACGTTTGGAAGCCAGAGGTTGACAGACTCTGTCCCTCTCTATCTCTTTTTTTGAGACCTCGCCATTCACTAAACCTGGAGTTGAGTAATTTGCATAGATTGACTGGCCAGCAAGCCCTATAGATCCACCTGGCTCTGCTGCTCCAGCCCTGGGATAGTGGGCTTGCCTTGTTGCTCCCTGCTTTTTATGTGTTGGAGATGTGAACTGAGGTTGTATGTTTGTGGGAAGCACACGCACCTTCCCAGGTCCAGTTCTTGATCTTTTTGACATTTTCTTCCTCTTCCTGCTTTGGCAATTCTCTAAATTATCCCTTTGGCATCAGATTTGGCATTCTATATAATTCCTGACCACTTGAGTGCAGGTGTGTATTTGTGTGCATGGATGGAGCTGTGTGATACATATATGTACAGTGTATGTGCATACGTAACAATCAGTGTGCATAGGTATGTGTGCGTTATACATTCTGGATGTGTGCACAAAAGAGAGTGTAGGGAAGGTGGACGTGGCTGCTTTGGAAGCATAAACCATACATTTCATGATTAACTGTCTCAAAGAAAGGTGCATTCATACACGGTATGGCAGGTATCTCCACTCACGGAGCCCTGCCTCTGTCACCAGTAAGCAAGGCTAGATGGGGAATGAGAAGTGGATGGAGGGTAGGTTCTTTCACTGCCAAGTATTCTTGCAGACAAATCTTTCCTGGACTCACTTTCACTATCTTGCAAACCTCGGGCAGCTCTGAGACTTAGAAATGTTCCCAGTGGCACAAAACTGAATTGGTGAGCGTTTTTCTGAGAAATTAATTTTACTAACACAGAAGTAAAAGACTACTCTCAATGTGATTGCCTGTTTATCTGCCACTGTTCTAGACTATGAGTAATCTGTGGGCAGGTATAGTGGTTTTCTTTCTATTTTTCTCTCTCCCTGGTTTAGCACACAGCAACCAAAGCACTATCTCAGGCATTCATTGCAGTAATGGGTGAATTCCATTTTGAGCATCAGGCTAGCAGATCTCCCTGTGCTTCCACTTCATGGAGAGCTTAGCAAGCTCCCAATAGATGTAGTGGCCAAAAGTCTAATATCTATACTACTGTTGTCCACTGGTAGACAAGACAGACAGGTACCCTTGCTTCTTAGGAGAAAGAAATGGATTGAAGGGATGAACAAAAAGATTCATAGTAGGATAGTAGCAATTAGAAAAAACAGATGCTATCACCCTGCATCCTGTGGAAGGAGGTCATCTTTGCTCTGGAGGAGACAGGCCGGGGATGGAGGAAAGAGACTGACTAGTCCTTAGCTGCCAACACAAGACCACTGTGAGTATGAAAAGGAGTCAATATATACACAGTCACTGTAATGTACAAAATCAGTCTCAGAGGGTTTGAAAAAGGGTGGCTTAGCTTCATCTATTTGTTGAGCTCCTATCGGGCACTAGACATGGAACCAGCTCAGGTGCTGGAGTACAGCCAAGTTTGATTAGCCTGCGAGCTGTGTGCATCTCTGTTTAGATTGGTCAGTGTCCAGGATGCCTAGGTAATTATTTTGGCTGCCCATCCTCTATAATTGTAAACCAAACACACTGTTGTTTGCTTCATTCTTGTTTGGAAGACACAGATAGTAAACACAGAGCGAAATATGCAATGATTTGGTGGATGATACATGCTGTGGATAAAAACAAATCAAGGCATTAGAATGGAGGTTAAGTCATCAGCCTGATATTCTCTAGCTCAGAAGAGGCAGAATTAGCATTTATTAAATTGGAGAGCTGACTGATTGACCTGCTTAATCTGTGACCAAGAGACCATGCTGAGCGCTGGAGATGCAGCAGTCAGCAAAGCAGACAGTCTCTTGTTCTGGGAGGCTGGAAGCAGAGAGGACAGATCGTAAACCCTGGAAAAGATACAAAGTGTGTCAAAGGGAGAATGCAGGATGGGAGAGGAGGTGAAAAGGAAGGCTAACCCAAGGGAAATGAGGTCAGGTTACTTTAGACTTAACCTCCACTCCCACATTCATTGCAGCACCATTTGCAAAGCCAGGATACGAAATCCACCTAAACATCCACTGAAGAATGAATGGGTAAGCCAAGTGTGACACATGTATGTCATGCACATCCTGGAATATTATCACTGGCAACAACATGGATGAACCTGAAGGACATTATGATAAACGAAGAAGATACAGAGAAAGGCAGATGGCACATGATCTCAGTTCTGTGTGAAATATGGAGGTCTATTGTACTGCACAGCAACTATACTTAATAAAATTGCAAAGAAATTCGATCTTTGATGTCATCTTCATAAAAATTTGTGTCTTGTAATAGATACATTAATCAGCTTCATTTGATAATTTCACTATATGAAAAAGCATCATGTTGAACACACATAAATATAAAAAACTTTTTAAAAAATTAATGACATGGTTATCATACTCATAAGCTCACAGCAGCTGTGGTGACCTTCATAATACCTGCACAAGATCAAGCCAGTCAAAATTCAGGCATAGATGGGAAGGCACCCTCAGACTCTGCCCATCATTGAGGAACTATTGACAGAGGGAGAAGGGGAATCATTCACTTTTCAGGGTGTGGCCACTGGTAGGTTTCCCATGAACCAGTGGATGTCCCCACACCCATGAACATAGGATAGCACTAATCAGACAGTAGATTATCAAAAAGAAAGAAAAAAAGAAAGAAGGAAAAAAGACAGAAAAAAGAAAAAAGACAAAGACATGAAGTTGGAAGGGGTGTGTGTTGGAGGGATATGAAAGGAGTTGGAGAGGGAAATTAGTGGTAGAGATCATAGTTCATTGTATACGTGAATGAAATTCCAAAAGAATGAAGTAAATAAGAACAACAAGGGAGTGTTCTCAGCTGGGGTGGTGGAGGAATACTTCTTTAAAGAAAGGCGTTAGTTCTGGTATTGGTCATAAGCTTGTTGACTTTGCTTGCAACCCTTTCTGCCTGGCTCCCTCCATCTGCCTTTCTCTGTGGGTGTCTGCAGAGGCTGAGTCCTTCATAGCCATCTTCCATTTATGATTCTGATGCTGTCCAGGGGTGTCTCCAGTCTATCTACTCCATAGCCCAGACTCAGGAGCTGTTCCTATGACCACTGGCTCTGAATTATGCATATGACCCCTTCATTCAGGATGAACATATTCTCCCAGGCAACCTGAGAAGTATGGAAAGAGGATGGTGGGAGTGAGGCCAGCTCCTGCCTAGGTGTTTTCTGGGAAATGAGAGCTTTTGGTGTCTAAGGAAGAGGGGATGAGAAGCAGGAATTGGCAAGAGCAGCAGGCTTCGTTCCTACCTCCAGTATCTATGCCCTTTGTTCTCTGTAAAATGCTGGTATGGAGAAAGGTGTGCTGTCCCTCTTTTGGATTGGGTGTAGAAAGCTGTAATGACTTGGGCGACTTACTCCTGCCTGCTTCCTTGAGGGCACTGCCACTGAGTTCTTCCTTTTGTCACAATTACTGCTCTCACCCAGGCCTTGCTGGATCAGAGCTACAAGATCTGAGTTGGAGCTGTAGCGAGCAGAGGTGGGGCATTGGAGACAGGCTTTTGAGAGTATAGCCTGACCCCAGTTCTGTTCATGCCTTTCAAGTCCTGATCCACCTAGGTATGATGAGGAGCAGTATCCCAAGCTCCCGTTATCATGGTCCATACTACTCTACCATGATGGACTGTATCTTCCAAAATCCAAGAACTAAAACAACTTTCTCCCCTAAGTAACTTCGGTCAGGTATTTTGCCACAGGAAGACAAAATGTAGCAAAAAGTTTTTCTAATGGGAACTTCATTGGGATATTTAAGAAAACTTAACCTATCTGTCAAGACCATTTCCATACCAAACCTTATAGGCTATGGTGTAGCCCAACTCCTTTCCATCTGTATGTGCACAGCCTGTTCCAAATCTCCCTTGGAGACCAGGCTTTTGCTCTTGAGGACACTAATGCACAGATAACTTTGTTGAATACTTTTCATGCCAAGCATGAGATTAAGTGCTGTTCAGGGACTATGGACTATTTTATTTCATTCTTAGAGTATGCCTATGAGGGGGAGTGTTTCTATTTCATGTTTTTCAGATTACAAGTTAAAATGTTTGTTTATTTACTTTAAAATTATTTTTATGTATGTGGATCTCTGCATGTCTCCATGGGGCTTGTGCACAGGGTATTCAAGTGGACATGCACATGGAAGCCAGAAGAGGGCATTGATCCTTTGGAGCTGGACAAGAGATTGTGAACTACCTGATATGAGTGTTAGGAATAGAATTTCCATCCTCTGTAAGAGAAGTATTCACTCTTACCTACTGAGCTCCAGCCC